AACACTGTAACTCCAATGCATTAATTCTTCTATGGTCTTCTTTATTCATTGTTCAACTTTCATATGCATATGAGGCTATTGAAAATATTATGGGTTGAGTCAGGTGCACCTTAGTCCTCAAACTGACATCTTTGTTGCTTAATACTTTAAAGAGGTCTTGTGCAGCAGACTTGACTGCTGCTTCTTTGAGTGTTGATGGTTGATCTTTGACAACTTCAATCTTTTCTCCATTTATCTTGGTGTTATTTATTGGTCCAGTGGTGAGGATTTTTTTTTTTTTTTCCTCATTACATTGAGATGCAATCTATACTGTGGTCTTTTATCTTCATCAATAAGTATTTTAAGTCCTTTCACTTTCGACAAGCAAGCTTGTATCATCTGCATATTGCAGATCGTTAATGAGTCTTTCTCCAATCCTGATACCATGTTTCCTTCATATAATTCAGCTTCTCATATTATTTGCTCAACATACAGACTGAATGAGTATGGTGAAAGAATACAACCCTGGCTCACACCTTTCCTAATTTAAAACCATTCGGTGTTCCTTTGTTCTGTTGGCTCTTCATGAGCACAATTAAGTGCTCTGGAATACTCAATCTTTGAAATGTTGTCCATAGCTTGTCATAACCCACACAATTGAAAGCCTTTGTTATCAATTTTTTTTTTTGTAGTCAATAAAGCACAGGTAAATGTCTTTCTGGTATTCTCTACTTTCAGCCAAGATCCATCTGATGTCAGCAATGATATCCCTCATTCTACGTCCTCTTCTAAATCTGGCTTCAAACTCTGAAAGTTCTTTGTCAGTGTATGGTTGCAGCTGTTTTTGAATTATCTTTAGGCACTGGAGGCACTCACTCATCTATGCCAAGAAATTTGGAAGACAACTACCTGGCCAGCTGACTGAAAGATATCCATATTTGTGTCCATTCCAAAGAGAGGTGACCTAATGGAATATGGAAATCATGGGACAATATCACTGATATCCCATGTATGGATCACGGCAAACTATGGACAGCATCATGGAGAATGAGTATTCCGGAACACTAATTATGCTCATGGGGAACCTGTAGATAGACCAGAAAGCAATTGTTCAAATAGAACAAGGGAACACTCAGTGGTTTAGAATTAGTAAAGGTGTGCGCCAGGGTTGTATTCCTTCACCATACTTATTGTATTAGGCAAATCTGCTACACAAGACCTCTTTAAAGTGTTCAAGAGCAAAGATGTCAGTTTTGAGGACTAAGATGCACCTGACTCAAGTCATGGTATTTTCAATAACCTTATATGTATACGAAAGTTGAACAGTGAATAAGAAAGACTATAGAAGGAGCTCTGGTAGCGTAGTGGTTACGAATCGGGCTGTGAACCTTAAGGTCAGCGGTTCGAAACTACCAGACGCTCCGCGGGAGAAAGATGAGGCTTTCTACTCCCGTAAGGATTTACACCCTCGGAAACCCTGTACAGGGTCGCTATGAGTCGGAACTGACTCGACGGCACTCAACAATAGAAGAAATGATGCATTTAAGCTATGGTGTTGGAGGAGAATATTAAAAGTTCTGCCAAAAGGATTGCCAAAAGAACAAACCAATCTGTGTTGGAAGAAGTACTGCCAGAATGCTCCCTGGAAGCCAGGATGGCCAGACTTCATCTCTCATACTTTGGACATATTGTTAGGAGGGACTGGTCCCTGGAGAAGGTACCAGTCTATAAAATAAAAGGTCAGAAAAAGAAAGGAAGACCGTCAATGAAATGGATTGGCACAGTGGCAGTAGCAATGGGGTCAAATGTACAAACAATTGTGAGGTTGACCTGGCAGTGTTTCGTTCTGTTGTGCATAGGGTCGCTATGAGTCAGTACTAATTTGATGGCACCTAACAACAACTCTCTAGCCTATGAAAACATTTCCCCTCTCCCTTCCCTCATAACTATCATTGATTTTTTTTTTTTAAGTAAGAAAATCTTTTTTAAGTTTTTACAACATTAGTGGTGGTGTGGTGTGGTGTGATGAGGAGTCGGTTCCAAGTCATAACGACCCTGAATAGGGTTTCTGAGGCTGTAAATCTTTATGGGAGCAGAAAGCCTCATCTTTCTCCCATGGAAAGTCTGGTAGTTTTGAAGTGCTGACCTTGATGTTAACAACCTGACTCATACCGACTACACTACTAAAGATCCTTTTTTCAACATTGTTGTTAAGAGCCGTTGAGTCGATTCTGATCCATAGTGACCCTGTATAGGGTTTCCAAGGAGCATCTGGTGAGCTTGAACCACCGACCTTGCAGTTCAAACGGCTTTGCAGTCTGGCGCATTAACCCACTGCACCACACCAGGACTCAACAATACTTGTTCTGTGATTCCCTAGTTTCAATGAGCATCATGTCCTCCAGGTTCATCACGTGTAGATTCATCACTATTCTTCAAAGTTGCATAGTATTCCATTGTGTGTATGTAGCAAAGTTTGTTTAGTCATTCTTCTGTTCAAGAATATTGAGACTGTCTCTATATTCTTGATGTATCGCTTGTAGACAGCATATTGAAGGCACTGGTGAGTCTGAATCATCGACCCTGTGGTTCAAACCTGCCTTGTGGTCTAGTGCTTTATCCCACAGCTCCACACCAAGACTCCATGATCTCTTGACACCTTACTAATTCTAGCCAACACAATAGGTTCAAGTCTCAGTTCTATTTACATATTAGCTAGAAATTCTTTTTGCTTCAATTTTCTCATCTGTAACATTGGAACTGTAGCAATTGTTCTATGTGTCAACCTCTATTCTTGTGTTGTTAGGTGCTATCAAGTCAGTTCTGATAATGACCCAATGTAAATAATAAAACACTACTCAGTCCTGCTCCAGCCTCACAATCATAGCTATTTTGACCTCATTATTTGTTTCTTAAACTTTTAGTTGTGAATTGGGCAGGCGTTTATAGAGCAGAGCATCAGTTTTACATTGAACAAATCCTACTCTTCATTTCATCTCAATGATTGCAATCCCTTCCATGTAACTAACATCACTTATCCCACTTGCTCCCTGTGTTTCTTTTTTCCATTCTTTCTTTTTGTTATTAGGTAAATGCTGCCCTTTTGATCTTGAATTGTTGACCCTTCCATGGTGAGCATACCTCACTAGTGTTGTCCCCCTGTATACCTATCTATTGCTTGACTCACAGGCGTGAGTTGGTTCTAGAGCTGAAGAGTGACTAAGGGCCACAATCTTGGGATTCTGCTAGTCTCTATCTAACCTGTAAGCTTGGTCTTTTTTATGATTTTGAGTTTTATTCCACATTTTCTCCTACTCTATCCAGGGCCTTCTGATGCGATCCTTTTCAGAGCAGTTGGCAGTGGTAGCCAGACCTCAACTAGTTCTGATCTCAGGGTCGTGGAAACCGAAGTTCATGTGATCCACTGGACCAATCATTTTCAAATGAATTCAATTTTCATCATTCTTCTTTACTCTGAGTAGGGAGAGACCATAGATGCTGTTCATGAGATTTTAAGATCCTAGTTGTTACTCATTAAAGTAGGATGTACTACACTGTTTTTGTGACCAAGGTGTTCCCCTAAGAACTGAGCCCCCAGCTTGTTTGCAGCCACCATGTCACTCCATCTCCTTGAGGCTTTTCCTCGTTTTCACTGATCCTCTACTTTACTAAACATGATGTTCTTCTCCAGGGACTGTTTCCTCCTGATAACACGCCCAAATTAATGAGACAAAGTCTGACCGTCTTGCATTCTAGTGTACTTCAACCAAAATAGAGGTGTTTGTTCTTCTGGAAGTCCATGGTGTAGTCAGTATTCTTCACCAACACTATAATTCAAATTACATTTAATTCTCTTGTCTTCCTTATGCATTGTCCAGTTTTTGCATACATAGAGGCAATTGAATATTCTGGGACTTGGGTCAGGTGCCCCTTAGTCCTCAAAATTACTTCTTTGCCCCATTCTAAACATTTAAAATTCTATTATTTCATTTAGTAATCACAGAATTGCTACTGTTCCAGTTACAGATGAGAAAGCTGTAGAACAGAGATTAAGAAACCTTACTCAAGGTTACATGGTAACACAACACACAAGATTATAATATATATATTTCACAGGATTACTGAGAAGCTTTCATGAGGTTATGGGTGTGACTGTGAAAGCGTTTTGTAAATAGTCAAGTAATTTACCTGTGCGAGCTAGTATTTTTATAGATTCACGACTTTCTTTTTATTTTAGCTGTTTCTAACTCTCTTTACTTTTCCTACGCAATAGCTCTCCCTCGATGACAGGGGGCGCTGCGGGCGCGAGCACTGACAGGTCCTTCTAGCCCGTTGCACCGGCCGCTCGCTGGTGCCTATAAGTGCCAGCGCCGGGCTCAGCGCGGCATCAGTTCACTGCCGCCGGGGCTGGGGTCGCAGCTAGCCCTGGAGGTGGACACGGAGCAGCTGCAGCTGGGCCGGGCCGGGGCGGAGCGCCGCGCCACGCTGGGGTCGCAAGGAAGGGTGTGTTGGCGTCGGCCCACAGCGAGCCTTCCCCCAGCCCGCTCCGAGGCTCTTTCCCGCCGGGTCGCCTGCCTCGGTCTTCCGCTTCCCTCCATTTCCCCGGAATCTCAGCCCAGCGCGCCAGGATCTCGGCCCTTCTCGGGGTGGGGAAACTCCCGGCCGCTTTCCGGCTTCACTTCTTCCTAGCAGTCTGGGCTTCTAGCCCCCTCGCTCCTTTTTCCTGGACCGAGTCCCATCCCTCTTGGCCCCCTTCCTTTAGCCCTGGCTCTCTACTCCTTCCCCAGAGTCTCTGCTCCTCAATCACTTTTCTCAGCCCAAACTCCCAGCCTTTCCTGTTCCCTTTCCTCCCCTGGGGGGGGGGGGGTCTAACCTTCCCTGCCCCTTTCTCTGCTCCAGTGCTCATCCCCCCTCTCTCGCTTTTCCAGGCCTGAGGTTCCAGATCCTTTGGTTTCCAATAGCCCTTCCTGGGTCCTTGTCCTTCTTTCCTAGTTTGAAGTCCCATACTGGTTTAAAAACTTGGAGTTTTGCAAATCCCTTATTCCCAGAGAGCTGCTTCCATAAAAATACCTCATAACTCTCTAAAACATGAACTTTTCTTAGAGACTACTACCCCAGTATCTCTTCCTACCTGCTGACTCCTTGCTACCCTATGTCCCAGACCTTACTTTCCCTTTGCTAGAGGTTGAGGCCTACTGGGTTGAGGGAACAGGATGATGCCTCTGTGGCCTAGCATCTGTGGCCTCTCTCCACCACGGATCTTCCCTTCATTGCTTGTGGTAGTAGCCTTGGTGGGGCTTCTACCTGTTCTCAGGAGCCATGGCCTCCAGCCCAGCCCTACTGCCAGCACCATCCGGGGCTCAGAACCACCACGGGAACGCTCCATTGGGGATGTCACCACCGCCCCTCCAGAAGTCACCCCAGAAAGCCGCCCTGTTAACCATTCTGGCCATGAACATAGCACAAAGCCACGAAAGCCCTTTCCAGTCCTGAGCATTGACTACGGGCATGTGCGCACACCCTTCGAGATTGCCCTCTGGATCCTGCTGGCCTGTCTCATGAAGATAGGTAAGTCCACTTTACTCCCATACTACAACTGCTGCCACACCACCAGACAGTGGTCTTGCCTTGTCTCTTATCCTTTGGGGATGCCCAGGAGTAGGGGTCCGGACTATTCCTGTAATGGAGGCAGCCTACATCCTGCCATCTTGGAAGTTGAGCTCTCTGGCTTCTTTGGTTCTAAAGCTTGCCAAGATTGGTGTCAGTCAGCATCCTGCAGGAAGGCAGGCAGGATGAGAGGATGGGTCATTTCTGATACTAGGTACCTTCAGCAAGTCTTCCAGGCCTGGTGAGACTCCTCTGGCTGGGCCAGACCTCAGGGGAAGCCAGGCATCCAACTGTATGTGAAATGATAAGGACAGTCTTCCAGCAAGTGGCACATTTCTGTTTTGCCATCAACAGCCAGTCCAATTACACGCTTCATGGTAGGTTGGCCCAGAATGGAATATATTTCTAGTTGGCTTGTCTGAGATGTTTGAATATAGCAGGAGACTCACCTTCCTTCATCTCCAGAATGTTATCTGTCAGCATTGCCTGTCCAGGCTGGTTAGGAGCCCTTGTGTTCTTTTCCAGCCCAGGAATGCTATCCCTTGGACAGTTTATGGATTTGGGGGCACTGGGTTCTAAAGCCTGTTTTGGGATGAAGACAGTACAAATTGGAGCTTGGTCTGGCCCCAGGTCACCTGCAGTTTGGCATCTGGCTGTGTCTCAAGGTGCTGTCTGAATTGGTTAGTCACACTGGCCTGTTAAGTGGGAAAGGTACAGCTGAGGGGCTAGGGATGTTGTGGTCTGAAGAGACTTGGAAATGATCTTCTTAGGGGAGGGAAACAGAAAAGTTGTTTCCCCCAGAGGGTTGTCTCCTGCCAGGCCTGAGCATTGTATTTTGCTCAGAGATTGATGCTGCTTACCAGAGACTGAAAAACCCAGGTCTCCCAGGAAGTGCTGGTCTGGGGTCTTTGAACGTTGCCGCCTTTGCTTTTTCAGTCCCCAGCTAATTGTGGAAGGCATGGGAGCCTGGGACTGTGCTCCTCTTTGCCTGGCAATTCGGTTTGGGGTGTTTGTGATTCTTGGCAGGAAGCCTGGCCACTTTCACAAGGACATGCAGGTGCTGAGTGGCTCTGCCAGGGTGGTGTGAGACAGACAGGCTCTGGGACCTGCTGCCGGAGGGTTCTGGTGCCCTGGGCTCTCATTGACTCTGGACGGATCCAGGTGCTGACTTCCTGTTGTAGGACTTTGATGCTTAGCTGGTCACAGTAGCAGGCCTGTGTGTGGAGCTGGGCCACCAACACCTATATCCTGATGGCAGCCCGCGTATGGAAAAATCAAGGACTGTACAAGGGGAACCATGTGTACTGATTCTGACATAAGTAAATGACCTTGAACAAACGGGCCTTTTTCTGCTAGTCTCCCCCACCTAAGAGATGGGCAAGAATCTCTAATAAATTTCCAATTGAGTCAGGAGACTTTGTATCTTAATTTGTTGTAAGAAACTGAAGTGACTTTGATGTGTCATTTGCCTGGTGTGAGACCAGGCAGAGACTTCACAAGTGCTGACTATAATTTGCCCTCCTCTCTTCAACCTCCTAACCACACCTGGCATTGTGTTAAGGGAATTGGGGGGCTGTCAATGCCTACTGGTGGGGTGATGGCATGACGACAAGGATCCTGCAGACCTGTCTGTAGTCCTAAAGGGGTCTGGCAAGGTGTGGCATAGCCTGGCACAGCTGGAGTATTATGCTGGGAATCCTGGGCCGCTGGACAGTAAAGATGGTGCCACGGCAAGGACATCGGTCTAGAAGTCAGTAAACCTGGTTTCTCACCCGTCTCCCTCTGTGACCTTGGGCTAGCCATGTCAGTTGATCTTTGTGGCCCTTTCCCGGTCTGACATTGCTGCCATCCACCGACTCGGGTAACCCTGGCAAGTCACTCAGCTTTGTGACTGAGTTTTCTCATTGTAAAATGAGGAGCTTGGATATGATCTCTGAGGGCCTTTGCTGTTCTAAAAGCCCGTGTTTCTGGCTTAGAAAGGCATTTTTTTCTGCCTCTGAAAACAGAGGCACTTTAGCATCTGGCCATCGTGGAGAAGAGAGTGGAGAAAAGAATGTTTAAGATCTCAGCAGTCCCTGTTAAGGTGGCAAAAGTGAATGCCTGTTTTCCTTTCACCTTTGCTCTGTAGAATCAAAGCTTCCACAACTCTGCTTCTTAACCTGTCAGAGCCCCAGCTTCCTTATGGGTGTTGTTGTTGTTAAGTGCCTTTGAGTTAGTTCTGACTCATAGTAACTCTGTATAGGGTTTCTGAGGAGCAGCTGGTGAGTTTGAACTACCGATCGAAGTCCAGTGCTGATCCTACAGTGCCACACCAGACGTCTTAGGGGTAAGATGGGGGAACTAAGAATATCTAGCTATAAAGCTACTGCTGGGACAATGGCATAAGATTAATGCATACAAAGCTGACTTTGTATAGTGCTCTACATAGAGGATACTCAGGGAGTGGCAGCTGTTCCCTTTTGTATTTTAAACACCTAAAATATAGAAACAGCTACAATCATATGTTGACAGAGAACTTCTAGAGGTTTAAGCCGGATTCAGAAGAGGCCATGGAACAAGGGATATTAACAACCTGCGATATGCAGCTGATACAACCTTGCTTGCTGAAAGTAAACAGGATTTAAAAACATTTACTGATGAAGATCAAAGAGTACAGCCTTTGGTACGGATTACATCTCAATGTCAAGAAAACAAAAATCCGCACCACTGGACCAATAAACAACATTGTTACCAATGGAGAAAAGATTGAAATTGTCAAGGACTTCATTCTTCTTGAATCAACTATCAACACTCACAGAAGCAGCATTCAAGAGATCGGATGACGTATTGCATTAGGCAAACCTGCTGCACAAGACCTTTTAAAAGTGTTGAAGAGCAAAGATGTCAGCTTGAGAACTAAGGTGCGCCTGACCCAAGCCATGGCATTTTCAATAACCTCAAATGCATGTGAAAGCTGGACAGTGAATAAGGAAGATCGTAGAAGAATTGATGCTTTTGAGTTATGGTGTTGGAGGAGAATATTGAAAGTACAGTGGGCTGCCAAAAAAACCAATGGATCTGTTTTGGAAGAAGTGCAGCCAGAGTGCTCCTTAGAGGCCAAGATGGCCAAACTTCGTCTCTCATACTTCAGACATATTGTCAGGAGGGACCAGTCGCTGGAGAAGGATGGAGGGTCAGAGAAAAAGAGGAAGACCCCCAACGAGATGGATTGGCCAAGTGGCAGCATTGATGGACTCAAGTGTGGCAACAGTAGTGAGGTTGGCCTAGGATTGGGCTGTGTTTATTTCTGCTGTGCATAAGGTCGCTGGTCGGTACCAACTCGATGGCACCTAACAATAACAACAGGGCAAATGCATCCCTCCCTCAGCCTCTACAGGTGGCACTGTGGGTTAATGCGCTAGACTGCAAGCCATTTGAACTGCAAGGTCGGTAGTTCAAGGTCACCAGCTGCTCCTCGGAAACCCATAGTGTTGCTATGGGTTGGAACCGACTCGATGGCACTTCACAACAACACAACAGGCGGCCACCAGAGGCCTTCCTTTAGGTTTCAGGGCCTGCTGACTTTGTTCTTCCTGTCACTTAAAGTTGCCTTCAGAGCTGGCACCAGTTGTCTCTGGGATGGGATTGGGGCACTGAGACCATGCTACCTCTGCACAGACAAAAAAGAACCTAGGAGCTTGGGCTTGCCTATTCCCTTAACATCCCAGCATGGATAGGAGTGCTGTTGAAGCCCTAATTCTGTCATCCGTGGCAGCTGTTCCCCTGGCAAGGTATCCCTCCTTTAAGAATAGAAAGTGCTGTGTGCAGTTCTCATTTTTATCCCAGAGCTCCTAATCATTGAACAGAACCTGAGGTAGACACTTTGTCAGAGACTGGTGTGGGAGGGGTGACGTTGGAGCTGAAGTTCTAGAGTGGCTCCTTCTGAGTTCTGTTCTAATTCTGATTCAGTGAGCAAGTCACTTCCCTTCTCTGGATCTTTTTCTCCCTTTCTCTGTGAGGGACCCTTGCTTTGAAGAAGTGGTATAGCTAGACTGCTGGGAGGACAGTGAGGTTGACCCTAGGCCAATCCCTATATCCACCTCACTTTATGACTTGGACCCAGAATAAATCCAGCTTTGTTCCCAGGGAGAACCTTGCTGTACCCAGCTCACCCCTGGCATCCCTAGTGTTTGTTTTCCTATATTTCTGACCCAGAACAGAGGCTCAGGAGTCCATAAAGCAGGTATTCATCTTGTCTTCTAACCAAGGACAAAAAACTCCCTTTGTAGCTGTTTTTGGTTTTTGTCATTGCCAGGAGTATCCTGCCATTTCCTCCTTAGAACAAGTCTGTGGAGAGATGGGGTCATGATTGTCCACTTCACATGTGGGGCTATCAGACCCACAAGTGGTTTCCTGTAAAAATGAGACTAGAACTTGCTTCTTTCATGCCTCCACCAGAGAGAGGAGCAGCCTTAAAGATCACCTTCAAACTGTCTTAAGAGGGGACTTTCTAAAAAGAAAGGTGACCTTTTGCTTTGGGAGGCAACTGACTGACTGACTGCAGGACAGTGGGAGGAGAGGTCAGCCAGGGATTGGAAGGAAGCCGTCAGGTAGGCCATGATGTTTCCAAAAGTGCTGGAGTACTTACAGGGTTCAGGTTGGTCTGCTTGGATTTCCTTCAGCTAAGGCTTTCTGCTCCCATAAAGATTTACAGCCTTGGAAACCCTGTACAGGGTCGCTATGAGTTGGAACCGACTCCATGGCACATAACAACAACAACAAGTACCCACTTAATGTGCAAGATGCTATGATCTATGAGGCATGCTCTTCCTTTTGTCTTCATTAGCTGCATCCCATCTAGCTCTGGAATAAAGAAAAGACTTTGTCATAAGGCCACCTGGACTCTGCCCCTGACACTATCTCTTAGTACCCATGTGACCAGGGACCAGGTAGCTCATTTCTCTAAAATGACTTGTCTCATC